AGGAGGAGGAGGAGGAGGAGGAGGAGGAGGAGGAGGAGGAGGAGGAGGAGGAGGATCAGAAGGCCGGAGGGCTTCTGAGAAGCCCCGCTGGCCCGCTGGTCGGCAAGGCTCGGAGGGGCGAAAGGGGCTGCGGCTGGCATGGGGGTTGAGGGCTGCGGCGAGCGTGTGGGGGAAGGGAGAGGGGCCGGGCGTGTGTGTCCCTCTACAGGAGGAAAATTCAAAAAATAGTAACATTATCCCGGCAAAGCAACCTAACAGCGATGTGTAGGAGCATATCTGGAAGCATTCCCCTTAAGATTCAGATGAGAATCCAGTTGTAGAATTCTGTAGTTCTCGCAGTCGCAGTCGCATTCGCGATGACAGTCGCAGTGGCAACGGCAGTCGCAGTCACAGCCTCAGCCTCAGCCTGCCTCAGCCTCAGCCTGCCTCAGCCTCAGCCTCAGCCTGCCACAGCCTCAGCCTCAGCCTGCTTCAGCCTCAGCCTCAGTCTGCCTTCAGCCTCGGCCTCAGCCTCAGCCTGCCTCAGCCTCAGCCTGCATCAGCCTCAGCCTCAGCCTCAGCCTGCCTCAGCATCAGCCTGCCTCAGCCTCAGCCTCAGCCTGCCTCAGCCTCAGCCTCAGCCTCAGCCTCAGCCTGCATCAGCCAAAGCCTCAGTCTGCCTTGAGCCTTGGCCTCAGCCTCAGCCTCAGACAGCCTCAGCCTCAGCTGCATCAGCCTCAGCCTCAGCCTCAGCCGCCTCAGCCTCGGCTCGCCTCAGCCTCAGCCTCAGCCTGCCTCGGCCTCAGCCTCAGCCTGCCTCAGCCTCAGCCTCAGCCTGCCTCGGCCTCAGCCTGCGTCAGCCTCAGCCTCAGCCTGCCTCAGCCTCAGCCTGCCTCAGCCTCAGCCTGCATCAGCCTCAGCCTCTGCCTCAGCCTGCCTCAGCCTCAGTCTCAGCCTGCCTCAGCCTCAGTCTCAGCCTGGCTCAGCCTCAGCCTACCTCAGCATCAGCCTCAGCCTCAGCCTCAGCCTGCCTCGGCCTCAGCCTCAGTCTCAGCCTGCATCAGCCTCAGCCTCAGCCTCAGCCTGCCTCAGACTCAGCCTGCATCAGCCTCAGCCTCAGCCTGCTTCAGCCGCAGCTTGCCTCAGCCTCAGCCACAGCCTCAGCCTCAGCCTCAGCCTGCCTCAGCTTCAGCCTCAGCCTCAGCCTGCCTCGGCTTGCCTCAGCCTCAGCCTCAGCCTGCCTCGGCCTCAGCCTCAGCCTAAGCCTGCCTCAGCCTCAGCGTCAGCCTCAAGCTCAGTCTGCCTTCAGCCTCGGCCTCAGCCTCAGCCTCCTTAGCCTTCAGTCTGCCTCGCTCAGCCTCAGCCTGACTCAGCATTCAAAATGTGGCCGGGAAATGGAGTGCTGGGAACTCGAAGAAACACGAAGTGGCCTTACAATTGGCTCCGGCATTCAAAATCATTGCCCAGGAATGGAGTTTCTGGGAACTCGAAGACACGAATGGCCTACAGTGGCTCCAGGCATTCAAAATCATGCCAGGAATGGAATTCTGGGAACTCGAAGACCACGAAGTTGGCCTACGGTTGGCTACAGGCATTCAAAATCTGCCTAGGAATGGAGTTCGGGGAACTCGATGCACGAAGTGGCTACAGCTGGCTAAATGGTATTCAAAAGTGGCAGGGGGGAATGAAGGTTTGGAACTCGAGAGCACGAAAGTGGCCTCAGTTGGCTACGGGCATTCAAAATGTGGCCAGGGAATGGAGTTCTGGGAACTCGAAGAGCACGAAGTGGCCTACAGTTGGCTCCGGGCATTCAGAATGTGGCCCGGGAATGGAGTTCTGGGACCTCGAAGACCACGAAGTGTGTAACTGTTTGCTTAAAACGATTTCCGCGGATTCTCCCCGGATGCCGCCCGGACCCCTTTGGGGAGTCATGATGCTTTCTTTTGAGACCATTAGAAACCTATCAGTCTTCGCTGTTAGGTAAAAATAGTCATCCCTCTCTGCGGAGCTCCAGACGTAAGTCAGGCATCCCTCTACAGGAGGAGTGTTCAAATAGTGAAAATAGTCAGTGGACGAGTCTTTGACTATCTTTGAATATTTGTTGGAGTATGTTTTGACTATGCTTTTTTCCGTCCAAAATCCTCCTGTAGGGGGACAGGCCCGACCTAACTACAGACGCCACGTATCGAAGAAAGCAGTGCGCCGGAGGGCGCCGTGTGGAACCACGCGTCCAGTTTGAGTGCGATCAGCGCGCGCAGCCATGCAGAAGCCGGCGGCGAGCCGGTGGGGGGGGGGAAGCGAGGGGAAGGCGCGGGCCTTCCGAGAAGGCTCGGAAGTCCGCTGGCCTGCCGGGGACTGTTCTGAGCCTCCCCCGAAGACAGAGAGTGGTCTGCAGAAGAAGGTCGGAGGGCCTCCGAGGAGCCCCGCCGCCCGGCCGGTCGGCACGGCTCGGAGGGGCGGAAGCACCGCGACCCCCACGGTGTAGCTGAAGTTTGCTAGACAGCCCTGCAGGGGGCCACAGGCGAGCCCTGCCCCTGCCCCCCACGATTTCTGAGGGGGAGCTTCCGATCGAAGTGAACCCCACCCTCCCCCCCCAAAAATCTTGTGGGGTAGGGGTGGGGTTCGCATGTGGCCCCCCACCCTGGGCGTCTGCTAAGCAGTCCTGCCCCATTCGGTTCCTTCTTTGGGTGAGTTTACTGAGCACACGGCTTCGCTTGTCTGGGTGCTTCTCATGAGGGTGGGCCTTCGGCCCCCTCAGCTGGCATGAGGGTTGAGAACAAGCCCCAGCTCTCCAGGGGTATCCTTCCGTTCTTCGTGTGTGTGCTCTCCTCCCGGGAGTGCTCTTCGTCTGGAGTGTTTGCGCGGGTATTTGGGCCTCTGCAAAGGGGCTCGTGTTCTTGACCCACGGTCTGATGGACAAGTTTCGACTGTACGACTCCTCTCCTCTCCTTCTCCCTTCCTCCCTTCCTCCCTCCCTCCCCTCCCCTCACTCCCTCCTCCCTCGTATTCCGCCTTCTCTCTGTCCACCCCACTGCTCCTCCAGTCGCTCTCACACCTGTTGCACGGCTGCCCGTACATCTTGCCACAGAGTATACCCCCACGATCACCCTTCGGGTGAGTAGGAGGTTCGGGGGGCGGGGGGAAGAATAATCGACTGCTGGCAAATGCGGTGGGTCTGATGATGACGATGCTGGTGACGCGCCCTCGAGTCAGCGACGACGCCTGATAACGATGTTGCGCTGCGATTTAATGCCACTACCGTCCCCGCTTTCGCTCTCACTCGACCGATCCCACTATCGACTTCGCGGCCAGTCTTAGTACCAATGGATTCAGCGATCGATCCCACTATCGATTCCACTAGCGATCTCACTATCGATTTCTCGATCGATCTCACTATCGATCTCACTATCGATCTCACCACCAGTGTCACAATCAACCTCACTGTCGATCTCACGTTCGACTCCACTATCGATCCCATTCCAGCGATCTCCTCATCGATCTCACTATCGACCTTCACTATCGATACCACGGCGGGACACCCTGGGCCACCGCCCGCCCACCGCCGACGGAACACCGACGGGACACCATTTGGACACCACAGGGCACCACGGCGAGACACCTCGGGCCACCGCGTATCCTCCTCTTGCTCTTCCTCCGTTTCCTCCTCCTCCTCTTCATCCTCCTCCTCCCCTCCTCCTCATTCCTCTCCTTCCTCCTCCTCCCCCTCTCCTCTTTCCTTTGCCCCCCCCCCCCCCCGCGTCGCGCGCTCCTGCGTGCGCGGCGGTCGCGCGCCAAGTTGTGCGGGCGGGGCTTGCCCCCTGCCCCAAGCCAGAGCCCCAGGACCGCGCAGAAACTCTCGAACCCTTCTCCTGCACATTTCTTTTTTGTCCCCCTCTCTCTCTCTCTTTTTCTCCCTCCCTCCCTCTCTCTCTTTCTCCCTCGTTCCCTCCCTCCCCGCTCCTCCCCCTTTCGCTTCGGGGCCCTGTCGCTTAGCATTTACCCCTTCGTTTGAGGCGGGCGGGCGGGCAGGGTCTCTCGCCCCGCGCTTACCTGGGCTCGTGGGGAAATCAGAGTCAACCAATGATCGGCGCACAGAGTGGTGTAATGCTGCGTCCAGCCGACCCCGCTGCCCCCCCCTCCATGTCCTCCTCCGGACTCCGCCCCGCCTTCCTCCCCTTGCTGACTTACTTCGTCCTCGGCAGCGGTCCCTGTTCCCTCCTTTCCCAACCCCACCCCTCTCTTTGGAAATCCAGACGCCACGTACTGAAGAACGGAGGTCGCCGTGTGGGATTACGCATCGGCTTTGAACGCGATCAGCGCGCAAAGCCGCGCACACGTGTTCCCTCCTTTCCCAACCCCACCCCTCTCTGTGGAAATCCAGACGCCACGTATTGAAGAACGGAGGTCGCCGTGTGGGATTTACGCATCGGTTTTGAACGCGACCAGCGCGCAAAGCCGCGCACACGTCGGCGGCGAGCCGGGGGGGGAGCAGCGACGGGGCGGGCCTTCTCGCGAGGCTCTCGAGGCCTCGGGCCTCCTGAGAAGTTGTCCACGCCTTACTCGAAGATGCAGACAACTTGTCACGATCGGAGGCCTCCTCCTCCTCCTCCTCCTCCTCCTCCTCCTCCTCCTCCTCGTTTCTGAAACACCCCGCCGCCCTCCGAGAAGGCCTCCTCTTTCAAGCTCCCCCTCCGGTCGCCGCTTGCGGGGCCGCAGTGCAGGCGAGCAGAAAAAAAAGCGACGAGGGCGGGCGGCGCGCTGCCGGGAAGGGGCTGCCCGCGGGGGGGCCGGGCAACGGCTGCGCCCTGGCATCCTCCCCCCCTGCGTCCTCCCCCTCGTCCTCGTGCTCTCGTCGTCGCCGTTCTCCTCGTCGTCCTGGTCCTCGGCCTCGTCGTCGTCGCCGTCGCCGTCGCCGTGGCCGTCGCCGTTGTCCTCCTCCTCCTCCTCTCCCCCGAGGCCCAAAGGCCGATGTTCCTGGCCTCCCGAGACCTCCGCCTCCCCTCGGGACCGCCGCCCGAGAGGTCATCGGCCGGGGCGGGGAGGTCGTGAAGGAGCTGCAAAAGGACGCGGGGTGGGGAGAACAGGCGGAGGACGAGGGAGGGAACAATGGGGGAAGGGTGAGGGAGGGAGGGGGGAGGCAAGGGAGAGCATGATGGGAGGGGAGGAGGAGGAGGAGGAGGAGGAGAGGAGGAGGAGGAGGAGAGGAGGAGGAGGAGGAGGAGGAAAAGAGGGAGGGCGGGAGGGAGGGAGGAGGTGGGGAGGGGGGAGGGGGAGGGAGGGAGGGGAGAGGGGGGGAGGGGAGGGAGGGAGGGAGGGAGGAGGGAGGGAGGGAGGAGGGAAGGGAGGGGAGGTGAGGGAGGAGGGAGGGATGGTGGATGGTCAGGGGAGACAGCAGAGTAGTTTTTACAGTGTGTAAGTGTGGATGTAGGGGGATGAGAGAGGAGGGAGGGAGGGCGGAGGGAGGGAGGGGCGGCAGGACGTGGACAAGGGGAGCAACACATACAACTACGCATGATGAGGAGAAGGATGATACTGATCGTTGATAACGTTTATGATGCTGCTGATGATGCTGCTGCTGCTGAGGATGATGATGCTGATGAGTATGATGATGATGGTAGTGCAGATGATGATGCTGATGATGCTGCTTATGATGATGATGATGCTGATGCTGATGCTGATGATAATGGTGATGGTGATGATGCTGATTACGATGATGATGATGATGGTGGTGGTGGCGATGATGATTATGATGATGATGATGATGATGATGATGATGATGATGATGATGATGATGATGCTGATGATGCTGATGATGATGATGATGATGATGATGATGATGATGATGATGATGATGATGATGATGATTCTGATGATGATGATTATGATGATGATGATGATGATGATGATGATGATGATGATGATGATGATGATGATGATGATGATGATGATGATGATGGTGATGATGCTGACGATGACACGATGAAGAAAGTTCTGATGGGCAGTTCTAGAACAGTAGTCGTGATGCGGAAACGGGCCGCGCGGCTGCATCCGCAACCGCTTCGGCACAAGCCTTTTTCGAATCGCCAGCTACCGCCCTTTTCTCCTTGTCCTCGCTCGTTCGGTGTTGTGTAGTGTTGTGTAGTGTAGCGTAGTGTAGTGTAGTGTAGTGTAGTGTAGTGTAGTGTTGTGTTGTGTTGTGTGTCTGTGTGTGCTGTGTGTGCTGTGTGTGCTGTGCCGTGTCGCCGTTCGTCGCCTCCCTCTGGCCTCTTGCTCTGCCTGGTCCAAGGTGTTGCCCTGTCCTGCTCGACCCGTCTGGCCCGAGGCCGCCCGAACCCTCGGCGCGGCATGGCTGCGCCAGGCGGGCCAGGCGGCGACTCTGCCGGCGTTCCACGCGCGCAGCGCGTGGCGGAGCCAGTGGTGGCTCGCGCCGCGTGCCGGGCCTGCGCCGCCGGCGCCAGCCCGTCGCCATGCGTCGCCTTCGGCGGCGCGGGCTCCAGACCCGCCAGCGCGGAGCTGCCCGGCGGCCGGACCGCCGACCCCCGCGCTGGCCGAGGAGCTGTGCGCGGGCTTGGAGCGGTGCTTGCCCGTGGCGGCGCCGCCCGTGGAGCTGGTGTGGCCTGATCTCTGCCCGGCTTGCCCCGAGCCGGTCAAGAACGAGATCTCCTGGGGCTTCGAGGTCTCGTTCGGTCTCCTGCCGCTCCTGGTGCGGGTGCTCGCCTCGCGCTGCTTGAGGGCGGCGGGGAACGTGATCTGCCGGGGCTGCCGCCGGCGGCCGCTGGCAGGGATCGAGGCGGAGCCGAGGGATGTCCTGGCCACCTTGCCGATTGTCCTCGTTCGTCGAGTCGCTCGTGGATGCGGGCTGCTTGCGACGGCCAACCGGTTATGAATGTCGGATATCAATTGTTTGTGGCGTATGGCGTGGCAGGGCTTCCATTGCTTCACGCGCGTGCGGTGATGGGTATCGTTGGTTTGGACGTTCGCCACGCAGGAGTTGTGTCGCCAGACCGCGGCCTCTTCGTCGAGTACTTCACCGAGGACAACGACGACCTCCGCCACTGGTACAGGGTCGGCCCAGGGCGCGCGCTCATCCGCGAGGGCGGGACCATCACGCCGCCGCTGGCGAGAGCGGGCGTCGCCGTGTACGACTTCGCCCAGCCGCTCACGGCCGCCGAGCTTGCCGCCTTCGTGGCCCAGGCCACGCCGGTGCTTGCAGCGCACGACGCGGCGCTCTTGGCGGTGGCTGGGGTCTTTGCCTGCTGGTGCCGTTGGGTCAGGGGCTGGCGCCATCGTCCCTTCAGCTGGTGGGGCCGGAGGCGCTGACGTCGCGCCCGCTGGAGCGGCTGCCGCGAACGCAGGTCTGGCGCCGGCCAGGGCCGTCGGCGGAGGCGGGCTGGCTGTGGGCGCCGGAGCGGCGGGCCACGATGATGATGACGATGATGACGATGACGATGATGACGATGATGTCTATGACGTCGACGATGCTGAGGTGGAGAAGAAGGGATGATAATAGAGAAGGATGATGTTGATGATGATGCTGATACTGATGATGATGATGGTGATGATGATGCTGATGATGATGCTGCTGATGATGATGATGTTGATGATGATGATGACGATGATGATGACGATGACGATGATGAGGAGGAGGAGGAGGAGGGGAGTAGGAGAAGGAGGAGGAGGAGGAGATCATGATTCTGATTCTGATTACGCTAAAGGGAAGGGTTCTCCTGCTGGGTAGGCCGCCCGATCACTTCATGACCGCGTAGGAAATAAAGGCGAAGACGATAATGATGAAAGCACACCCGATACGGTGCCGTCCGTTATGATTGAATCGCAATGCCCAGCCCAGCAAAACTCACAAGGTGTGTAGCGAGCTGCAAGCTACTTTCAACCACCAGCCAGACAAACTATTGAGAAAACACAGCGTCAACACTTTGCCGAAGTACTGCACCAGAGCTGGCCTGCTATGACTCGCCACACCGCCCATGCTGTAGCCGCGTACAACAAGACGCGATACGCGTGCAAACCTCACCCGCACGATGAGGCCCATGAGGATAAAGCGTGGCCAACACATAGATGAAGATCTCCACCTGCATCAGCACGACAACACAGAAAACAACGCAGAAAGCCTAGGCCAGAGGCCACATCCACATCGCAGCAGACACACCAAGAAACCCTCCAGAAGCCGATGAGGCACCAGGGCACACCAGGCTCGAGGGCGAAGTGAATGTTAGCTACCACGGCTCATCCCTTAAGCCCTTCCATTGGAAATCCACCTGAGCCGCATCCCACCAGAACGTCGAACTGCACAATGACCATATCAGTGGAAATGCGCGCAGGCTCGCGATGCACCAACGAACAATGTGCGACACGGATGGGCGGAGAAACCACCACGCCAATACCTCGAGCACCACGGTGAAGGACTGAGTTAGACGTGGTGTTGCGCCGCTTTGTCCCCGAACGCCGCGGAGCGGAAAACGACGACCTCAAGCCGCAGCTGCACACAAGTGGACACCAAGCCCCGGGAGGAGCACAGGCGCCCGCTCGAGCCCCATGCTTGGACCAGGCTTGAGCCCCTGGCTTGATTGAGGAGGAGGAGGGGGAGGAGGAGGAGGAGGAGGAGGAGGAGGAGAAGGAGGAGGAGGCGGAGGAGGATCGAGAAAGGGCAGCCACGTGAAAAAGGACAGCTCTCAGCTTGCCCGCCACAAGCCCTAGCAGCCACACCACTGGCATTTTGTGCCACAGCTGTGCTCGCCCTCATTGGGCGCGAGCTTCTAGTTTGCACCTGGGGAGCGGGGCATGCTGGGATTGATCAGAGCAGCTCTGGGAAGTGGATACCATCGTCAGCGATATGCACCAAGTTCGCAGTCATCTCGGCGCCAGATGCGCCCTTTGTAAGCCACGGTTCCGTCATAAGTATGGTTTCCTAATCTTTTCTTCCCAACTATCCTGTGGTCTTGGGTCCTCGTGTTGAAGAGACAGTACCCGCATCCTTCTCCTCCCCCTCCTCCTCCTCCTCCGTCCTCCCCCTCCTTGCCTCTGCCCTCCTCGTCGCCATCACCATCACCATCACCATAATCACCATCATCATCATATAACTGCTTGTAGTGCTTTGATCGTTGCAATGCTCTGTGCCGCAACCGCCTCGGCTCAAGTCTTAATTTGTGTGGCTCCCATGCAAGACATCGTCGCATCTTTTTCAGACATTCTGCGATACGGGGCTCAGGCTGTGGGAGCTTCCGTGGTGGCACGCGCTGCCGCGCCGAGTTGCGGGGCCTGCGCGCCGCAGCTCACCTGCCCCGCCATCCCCGCCTGTGTCTGCGCGGGCGCTGGCGGCCAGGTGCCCGAGCCCTCGTGCGGGGGGCTCATCGCGGCCTACGCGGCGGCCGCGCTGACCGTCGGCCTGGCCGTCGGTGCCGCAGGAGGCGCGCTGCTTGCTCGCAGGGCGGAGAGCAGCCCCGCCGCCGAGGCGCCTGCTGCCAGCTTCGAGGAAACGGCCCGCGCCCAGGCGAGAGCCGTCAGAGATAAGAAGGCCTCTACTGCGTGAAGATGGCTCACCAGTTGCATTGGGCGCTCGTCAGATATCGAGTGCCTGGCGCGCACGTGTGGCATGAGCGGCTCATTGTGTGGCGCGGGCCTGGGACGACAGTATACGTCATCACGCCTGACGGTGATCGATATGAAGAGAGTGGCACTCCAGATGCCGACATCGCGGGCATCATCATGATAGCAGGGCAGGGCGAGAGGCCAGCTGGGCTTCGCGTGTACGGCTTCAGAGCGCTGCCGTCCGACGCCGACGTGTGGGCTGGCATCATGGAGGCGGCCGCGCTTTTCGGAGGCGGCCGCCCCGCGTCGCCCGCCAACATGCCCTTGGCCGCTGGCAACGTGGGCGGCCTCGCGGTGGGCAATCACGTGGTTGCTGACCCTGCGCCGCAGCCCGCGGCGGTGCCTGGCGCACCTGGCGGGCCTGCCGCGGGGGCCCCTGCAGAGGCGATGGCGGCCGCTGGAGGCGCAGGCGCTGCGGCAGCAGCGCCGGGAGGGGGTTCCCCGGAGGGGGCTTCGTTTCGCGATG